TCCCCCCCCCCCCCCCCCCCCCCCCCCCCCCCCAAATATCCTCCTCAAATATTGACAACTGATGTCTCACCCCAGATTGAAGAAACTTCCCGGGAAAGAGAAGAGAGATTGAAAGGGTGGCAAGAATTTTTAGGGGACCCCAACCAAGAACGGCCTAAAAAGCCACCGGATGCCAATTCTTCAGAAAGTGGCCCTCAAGCAGCCAAGAGAGACCCGCCGACTCAAGATAACGGGGCCGCCGAAGCCACCGAGGGAGGAGGAGGAGGCGGGGATCGCCACAAAGGAGCCGGCGAAGACGTCGCGGCCTCCACAGACAGCAGTGCGGCAGGCAGTGATGAAGAGGCAGAGACTTAACACCGCTCGCCGCCCGGTCCGAGCGCATGATTGCAGGCTCCCCTCGAAAACCCCCCCCCCCCCCCCCGATGCAGTTGTTTGCAAGCTCCACTCCAATCAATGAATATAAATAAATATATATATGTACATGCGCGCACGTTTCCTTGTTAGGATATCACCAACGTGCTTTTGAGGTATTGCATTTAAAAGCAGTATTTAGTTTGTGTGTGTGTGTGTGTGTGTGTATACACACATTCGTTTTCTTAAGTTTTCGCGGGTACTTACATGTATGGTATTCAGCTTTGTTCGGGTATTTTCCCACGTCATTATAGTTGTGCTTTTAAAGTTGTAGCAACATTTCAGCAGAATCTCATCTGCCATCATCAGGCTTCTGTATTGTGTTTGTCTGTGAGTCAGACTTTTACAATTGTTTCAGTTTTAAATTTGGGGCTAGCCTACTGCTGGGCCAGAATGTTTTTTTTTTTCTTCATCCTGATTGGTTGGGAGTCTTGGTCTGTGTTTATTGGTCTTGGAGTTTGCTGTGTTCTGCTTGATTGGTGTTTCTAATATCTTCTGTCTGTTTTTTGGCTCTTTTTGTGTCTTGATTGGCTGGCAACATTGCGTTCCTGTATTGGAGGCCTTTAGTGCAGCTTGGCTCCAAGTAAATGGACGGCTATCATTTGTTAGGAAGCTGGGTTTCATCTGGGTGCCTGGTTGGGGTGTGTTTGAGCTGGAGGTATCAGGGGGGATCTGTTTGTGCCCAGGTGTTTGCCTGGCTAGTGGTGTGGAGATTTTTTTTGTTTGTGAGTGCAGGCTTCCAAATAATTGACAGTCTGGTGGAATCATCTCTTCTGTTCAATTTAAAACTGAAACCACTGTAAAAGTCTGACTCACAGACGAACACAATACAGAAGCCAGATGATGGCAGATGAGATTCTGCCGAAACGTTGCTACAACTTTAAAAGCACAACTACAATGACGTGGGAAAATACCCGAACAAAGCTGAAGGCCATACATATATTCATTCATATATATTCATGTCTGGCTGCGACTGAAGCTGCGTATGTGTCATAAGTTGCCAAGAATCCTGCTGAACTGACCAGTGCAGAGCCCCATCCATGTGCAAAGTAGGTACAAACGCCCGAATGACACCATAAATCAACGGTGGCTAACCTTTTTGGGCTCCTGTGCTAAAAACTGCGCTTGTGCTCCCAGCACCCAGGAGGCAATGCGCGCACACACACCCCCATGCCCCCTGCGCATGCACGTGCAATCCCCCCCACGCCGCCCCCTTACCTGCACTGCACCTCCCAGGTGATTTTCGACCTGTTGGAGGCCTTTTCTGGGCCCCTCAGAGGCTTGAGGAAAGGCTTCTGCAGGCTTTGCAGGCCGAAAAATGGGCCCATTTCGTCACTTCCGGTATTTCCAGAAATACTGGAACTGACGAAATGGGCCTGTTTTTCGGCCTGCAAAGGCTTTCCTCAAGCGTCTGGGAGGCCTCAAACAGGCTGAAAATCGGCTGTGAGGTGCGCGCATGAGCAGTGAGGTAAGTTTGTCTGTGGCTCGCATGCCAGCACAAATGGCTCTGCGTACCACAGGTTCGCCATCATGGCTATAAATCTTCACAGAATCCCCAGGTAATGAATGCTTCTTGGTGTTTTTGCTCTAATGCCAGCCTCCTCCTAGCCTACTAATACTCCCCCCCCCCCCCCCCGCTCCCCGTACGATAAGGATTCTTGGATGCACCAGCATGGGCTTGGGATACGCTGGTTTTCCTGATACTAATTGGTTGTTTTTTTTTAAAGTAGCAGATCATTTCAGATTGTATTCGCCCTCCCCACAGTAGGAGGAGGTTCGAAAGATCACGCTCTGAAGATGCTCCTCTTGGTGTGTGTGTGTGTGTGTGTATGTGTGTGTAAAGTTCCTTGTGATCCACGTCCTTTGTTCGTTATAGAAGTTCGTCGCTGAGGGAAGCTAGATAATAAACAGGCAAAAGAATGTAAGTGAGCTGAATTCTGATCTTTATAAATTTTCGTTTAGATTATTAACTCATTGGGAACATGCGGCGGATTGCATGTGCGTTTGGAGGTGCAATTCCTGCCATGTTCCTGGTGTTTAACTGTTTAACTATAGTTGTGTTTCGAGCATTTGTCGAGACCAGAGTGCATGAAGCCTGTATTTTTTTATACTGGATTGATTATAGGAGATAACTACGAATAAAATCGTTTTGAGATTCATTCCCGAAATTTGTTTCTCAGATTTTTAACGAATTTTTATGTTTTGGGTAGTAGATAAAAGCCGCTCAAAAATGCTCTTTTTTCCCCCCCTTTTAATCGCTGCCAAGACTTTCCAAATGCTTTGCCCAAATTGACTTGCTGTGTGGTCTTCCGTGATGACCCAGGGCGTGACACAAAAATAACACAGTCACAAAAGTAGAATAAATTCCCTTTAATGCCTCCAACTTGGGCCCCAATGTCCAAACTCTTCCAAAAACAGTCTATGAAGGAAAGAAATGCAGCCTGAACCCAAGTAAAGATAATTAGAAATAAAAAAAACCAACACAAACCACACTGAAGTAATCAACCCGGCAGGCCAGGATGATAAATTGCAGACTTCCACAAGATAACGCAGCACCCATAGTTGGGAGGATACCAAAACCCAGATAAGCCTTGAGGAAGATAATGCATGCTTTGCTTCCAGCAAAGAGCTGTATAAAACGCCCCACTTATATCCTGTTCTCCCAGCTGCAACTCATGAAAGGGATCAGGGCCCTTTCCTCTCCCGTGAGCCACGTTGCTCCTTTCTCCGTTCTTCCCTGTGTGCCCTGGGATGAAGAGGGGGTGGCCTTGGGTCCTTCCTCTGAAGGCCCAGCCGGACCGTGCCCTTCCCCCGTTTCTTCCACAGCCACTGGAGCCACACTCCTACTCCCTGTCAGCTGCTCAATCTCCCCCTCAGAATCACTCCAACAAGGACATGACATCTAAAAACTAACCTGTTCAAATAATGAATGGTTGTTTCAGCCATTTCAGGTACACTTTAATGGGGGATACCTGGGCTTTTGTCGCGACGATCACAGCACCTGTGCTCTCCGTTTTGCATGTGAGCGTAGGAAACTAGATGCTTCACGCCGAGTTTGCTGTTTTAGCCAAATGATATCGTAGCTTGTGGAAAACATTAAACCAGGATCTCGGCCCATTCATTGCTCGAGATGGAGGATTACGCTAATGATTTTCTGTTGGCTCTAAATAGCAGCAAACCTAGAAGTGGAATTTCAAGCTTTTATCTCTCTTCGCTGGGAGAAAAAAGGAAGTCGGAGCCTAACTTCAGCTTGAAATTTCCCAAGGACCTTTGTCAACTAAAAAATACTCCCTTGGTCTTTTTAGTTACCAGCAGAAAGGGAGTGGGGGAAAGCAGTGCATTCCTTAAATGCCTCAGATAATCGCCTTGGCAGCCCAAAGCTGTCGGCACGCAAGATTATTATCAGAGAGCATGATTGATGACTCTGTGTGACTCCAATGTGTCCCATTGGAGAATATACATCTGGGGGGGGGGGGGGGGGGGGAGACCAGGGTCAAGGGGAAAATGAACGGTGTATTTTAGTGTCGGCTGCACCCAGCTAACGCCAACATGGCCACTCCTAATAAATCAATTTTTTTTTACCCTGAGAGGTGCGGCTAGAGACTTATGATTTGAATGGGGGTGGATTTGTTGGAGCTTTGGCTACATTGTTGACTGTTGAGCATCTCCTTGGACTCTTTAGGAATCCACACTGATGAAAAACAGTTTCTTCACTGAATAATCTTTTGTAGAATAAGGCTAAGTGCTTAATGGACCAGTTTTGAACCTTGAATTTGTGATCAAGTCATCTCTTGAAAATGTGTTGCCTTTGAGCTGTTTGGTCTTAAAGGCACTAACTGCTAAAACCTGACCTGCTTCTTTTAAAACATTTGAGAAGTTGAGTACACTGAAAATGAGTGTTTAGAAATAAAACCTCTTAAAAGGTGGCCACCCGTCCAAATGAAATATGTGGCAATGTTTTTAATGCACATGCCTCTCCTTGTTGCTGTTGTATATTGCGACGTACGATGACAGCGAATGAGATCAGCGAAACTTATGCAAAACTACGCTTAGGAAGTAGTGTGATAGTTCCAAATTAAAATATTTCTGGAATTTAAATGATTGTTACATTACAAAAACCTCTGTGGCCTTATTTGTGGAGGAAAATAATCTCAAGGCCAGACCTAATTCATACTCACAGGCCTTGAGGACACAAGGATCAAAACTTAAAATAAATGGTTGTCATTTCCAAACTTTAAATTCCTTTCCTAGGAAAATCTGGTGGTTGCTCTTTTGGAGCATATAATCTCACTGCTTCCTTCCAGCTCCTCATCTACGTCTCCTATTTATTTTGACATGAATTTCTCTGGTATTCCACCGTGGTTCCTGTCTGCAAATCTGTTATCATCTTCAAATAGCGTAATTCCAGATTTTGAGACTTGTACAGTTCATAATAAGAGATAAAATATTTATTAGGCTTAATGTTTCAGAGATCAAATAATACTTGCGATTGTTGTAAATTGTACTCTAGTTTTTACACAGATACATATTAATTCCACAAAATATTTGTGGGTTTAATCTTGTAGGAGAACCCTCGCAATTTTTATGCAGAACCAGGTTTTGTGTTACCATATTTTAGTGTGTTGTCACACGATTGTGTTACAAATACAGCTATTTGGGAAGATTGAATGCATTGCTGGACACAGACTCTTCATTTCATTGGCATTGTTCAGTCCTGCTGTTGCAAATTAGTTTCCTTACAGCATAAGGATTTACTCAGGAATAAGTGAATCAATTTGAATTTCTTACAGTTAAAACTGGAGGTGAATAGCGCTTCTTATTTAAATGACGACTTCAGTTACCTAGGGCCAATTTTAAATTAAATCCAGTTTGAAGTGATTTGTTCTACAAATTACACATAAAATTCTTCATCCTATGAGATACGCTGTCAAGCAAGATCTCTTGTCTAGGCTGATACAGAATGATAGAAAGATATCATGCATCCATCCTCAATGTTTATATTTTGGCAATCATTATCTACAACTTTCCCAATCTGTTGCTATATTCTGGTAACCGTCTCAAGACTTTATTCATCGCTAACTGGCAAAATCCGTATTGGTTACAACATCCGCAGGTAAGTTTTTTGTGGATGTCGATTCCCAGAATTCCCCAGCCAGCCATATTGCCACCAAGTACAGTAAAAGCCAAAAATCCCCTCTTGGTCTCTTGAGCTGAAATAGTTGACCTTTTTTTAAAAAAAAAATTTTATTTTATTTTTACAAACATTCCATCTTTTCTTTAAACAGTGTGTGCTTTTAAATATCTTGTGCCATAATATTTATGGTTAATTCAATTTCCTTACCATAGCAACAACAATTATATTACGTTCTTATTTTGAACTACTATACATAATATATCTTATTGTTGTAACCATCCCCTTCTTAACTCTTTCCCCTCTATATTTATATGTTCATGAATGTTCTATATACATTCCTTCTGTGTTCATATATTTAATTTCTAATTTTCATTTTTCTTTTCCAACCATTGATAGAATAATTCTCATATCATATAATATTCAGTTTGTTCTTTTTCTTTAATTGCCCATGTTAATCTATCCATTTCTGCACATTCTAATGTTTTCCTGATCGCGTTCTCTTCTAAGTTTACTTTATTTCGTTGTCACTGCACCTCATACAACGAAATCAGTGTGCATCATGACCATGAAAAATAAACACAAACACGCATCCTTCACGCTCCACACATTGAATTGAAGACCCCTGCTATTGCATTAATATCGCACTTTACAGTAGAATTCAAATTACAAAGTGCTGGGACTTCCAAATTGAAGTTGAGCGACTTTGGAAAAAAGAAATTGTGTGTTATCCCAATTGTAATTGGAGCCCTTGGAGCAATACCTAAAGGGCTGCCTCGCTATTTGGAAATCCTGAATTTATCAGACTTGAATACCCTCATTCTACAAAAAGCCACCCTACTTCTAACAACTTATACCCTCCAATGCTACCTGAATAGTTCCTAGCTCCTTGGTTAGGACTCGAGCTGTGGAGCTACCAAGCAGCCCCAAAGGCTGTGAATCCCACTAAAGTTTATCAATAATAATAATAATAATAATAATAATAATAATAATAATAATAATAATGGTTAGGACTCGAGCTGTGGAGCTACCAAGCAGCCCCAAAGGCTGTGAATCCCACTAAAGATTATCAATAATAATAATAATAATAATAATAATAATAATAATAATGGTTAGGACTCGAGCTGTTGAGCTACCAACGGGCCCCAAAGGCTGTGAATTTCACCAAAGATTCATCATCATCATCATGAATTTTGAATGGAGTCTCAACTGACATTATACAAGATCTGAGGCTATAGGCATGAAAATCCCATATACATGGAGCCTCACCTGACAGTGACGTTGTAGCTTTGAACAGTCACTAAATGAACTACTGTAAGTCGAGGACTACCTGTCTATATTCAACAATTTAATCACATGGGCTCTGGAATTAGAGACTAATAACTTCCTGGTCTAAACAAGGAACAACAAGGCAATTAAATGGAAGAAGAAAAAGAAAAAAGCGAAGCACACAGTCACTAACAACACCAATCCACCCTAAAAGAGGAAAGCTGGATTCTTTAAAATTCAGACATCATGTCCATCTTGTAGTACCAGGAACTGATCTTCACTCTGGAGACCTTATTCTTGGCTTGGGCACAAAGCCACAGGTGCCAGCTATCTTTTACAAGCACCCTGAACAATATTTTTTATTGTCTCCCTTCCTGAAACCTCTAAACCCGGCTGACTTGTCAGGGTGCATTTCACACATTCCTGTTCCCGAGGATACGCCTAGTTCCCTCACTGCTAAAGGAAGAGAAAACTGCTGGTCCTGTCTGGGGCTGTTCTTCTCCTTGTTGTTGAGTTGCTACAGAGCTCCCACCCGGAGCAGAGACACGGAGAAATCACAGCATGAAGTGAACTCAGGTGGGTTCTCTTTTTAAACCAAAGGTATGAAAATAAGTCTTGAGTTCCTCTTACTCAGAGGTCTGGGGTAAAGTTTAGTCCAAGCAAGGGAATAGATGCATCTAATGGAGACGTCTAAGTGAAGTTGTGGGAGATGTTGCAACGAGTTCAGTGGAGAGCTACAATTTCTTGAATTGGTTGACTGAGTTGTAGTAGTTTAACAAGGTTTTCTGAATTATGGTTTCCAATGAATGCTATTGTGGACGTTTTGAAAATGGGTGTATTGCCGACTACTTCTGAACTAATTCTTGTGTATCTCTTCTGCATCCTACTCTAATCTGATCGTGTGAATCTTGGTTCATAATCAAGGATTTTCAAAGGGTTGAAATTCACCTATCTTTGTTCCCTACCTGGAAGGAATATTAACACCATAGAGGGAGACAGTAGAGGGAGGTGGACATCCGGAATAAAATATCTGCTCGGTCATTGTGGACAACAGATGTTGGGCTCTCACCCTCAATCTTGAAGGAACTGACTTTATACTTAAAGCTTCTGGTACTTTAAAAAAAAGAAAATTAAATTCTGCTGCCACTTTCTGTGGAAGAACTATTTTCATTCTCAAATACCGGTTGGGAAATCAAAACGATAATGACTTGGAGGAAACTATCTTCCCAAAGTCACATGTCTGTCTCTAGCATCAGGCTGCGTTTCCTACAAGATGAGGACTTTAGTCATGGGGTATGGCCAGATTTGTACCTTTTGAGGAATTGGATTGCACATCTGTGGGTTCTCTTGTGTACAGACTGGCAACCAAGAAGACACATTAAATATCGTTGGTGAAGGGTGGGTGACCAAGTCTGTGAGATGCCACTTAAAAAGTATTTGGGCTTCCGGTGCAGTTCCTACCCATTGGCTGTGTTTACACAACATGCCAAACCATAAACTATGCTTTACACTTTGACCAAACCACCAGTTATCACAATGACTCAATATGTTGGCCATTGTACTCACAAGCTTGGTTTGGTTGTCTCTGCATGTTGTATAAGTCCTGATGGTTCCTGAGAACATTAAGAGAACGTTCTCCTAGAAAGGAATGTGGCTTCAGGAAGGCAGCCCCACATCTCCCATTTTTGAAGTGTCCTAATGAATCATAGAGTTTGGATGGCCACCTTTCATTGAACTGGTTGTCCTATACAATGCTTTAGTAGCCCCTTCCAATTTCACAGTTCATTAGGACACTTCAAAAATGGGAGGTGTGGGGCTGCCTTCCACACCACCGTCAATTCCACGTACCCCTTTCTTGTGTCCTGTTTATTTTCAGATTATTTCCAAGTATGGAAGAGCCAAAGAATAATTCTGCAAAGCTGAGCAGAACCAAACAGCCAGTGAAAACAGAATGGGGAGCCCATTACATGGTATTGACCTACTTCCAAGGAGACACTAATAGCATGGTGGATGAACATTTCTCTAGAGCTTTGAGTGTCACCAAAAACCCACCGGACCTGAGTAGCGACAACAGTGTCAAGGATGGCCTTATTAACAACGGTGAGTTTGTCGCCCATGGCTTGTTCTACTTATTTCACAGATAGCAACTCATTCAACAAAGAGCTCGTGACTTCTTATTGACAATAGATTTCCTCAGGTATCATTGTACTGATGTTTAACAAAACCGGTTGGTCGCTTGAAGGACAGGGATTTAATCTGAGCTGTGACTAAGAGGGTTTTAAAATTCTCCTACACGGTCTTTAATACATGATGTCTCTGGAAAATGGAGGTCACGAAATTTCAAAACCATTCCTCAAACCGGCCTGGGTTAGTTTAGTTTAGTTTAATTTACTTTATTGTCATTGCATCTCGTACAATGAAACCAAACCCCATCTTCAGTGCACATCATGACCGTGAAAATAAACACTAACACACATCCTTCACACTCCACACATTGAATTAAAAAACCCCAACACCGCACCAACACTGCACTATACAGTAGAATTCAACAGAGCTACTATCCTGGGATAGAAGCTGTTTTTCAGCCTTTTTGTCCTTGTTTTTATTATTCTCTACCATCTGCCAGATGGTAATAGTTCAAAAAAAGGGGGTTGCCCAGGATGAGTTGGATCTTTGAGAATGTTTTGAACTTTCTTAGGGCAGAGGGAGCTATAAAGCTCTTCCAAAGAGGGGAGAGGGCAGCCAATGATCCTCTGGGCAATGACATTAACCGTCTGGAGCGCTGTCCTATCTGCCACTGTGCAATTGGCAAACCAGACACGGGTGCAGTAAGTTAAGATACTCTCTATGGTGCAGTGATAGAAGGTCACCAGCAGTTTTTCATTCATTATTTTGCTATCTGTGGTAAAGATGAAGTTGGCAGTCATTCCTTATACCGAAGTGGGATCCGACCGGTGTAATTACCGGTTTGGTGATTTTACATTTTGCCTCTGCAACCCACCTCACAAGATTGTTGTTGTAGAAAAATTAAGAGGAGGAAGATGTGTTGGATACGTTTGCCCCCTTGAGTTATTTGTAAAAGTAATAAAGGTGAGGTGCAAATAAATAAATAAAAAATTACCTATCGTTGGAAAACGGTGATGCACCTCACCATGGAACATGAATGCACCTGTTTTGCATTTTTTTTCCCAACAGAAAACCACCAACCTTCTCACGGGTGGGGTCTTCCACCCCACTGGACCAAGCCCTATGGTGCAGCCTCCCCTTTGAACCTGTGCGCTTCAGACGAAAACCCAGTTGTTCCCGCGATGGATGTCTACCAGCCTTCCATCCTCCAGGAAGCTTCTCCAGCAACCGCTGAGCTCTGGCCTTCGTCTTCTGGGGGGGGTCCGTGTTTGACCCCAGTTTCGAGGTACCCAACCTCTGACCTGCACATGGGGCAAGACGGCATGTTGGATGAGAAGTATGTTTCTTTGTTGGGCCTCTTGGAGCAAGAGAGATGTTCTCGACCCGTCCAAGATTTGCTTGATTCCCGATCGGCTTGTCTTACTGGTTCGGCTGGGTTGCAAAATATGAGCCAGAGGTAAGTCCGTCCAGGTTGATGTTTTGATACTTTAGTACTTTCAAGATAAGAGGTGGGAGGAAGGCAGGCAGTGTTTTTCAAGAGGGAAATGGTAAATATGATTTATTTCTTCCAAGGGTCATCAGGAGTGCTTTGATTTTTTTTTTAAATCTCCTGGGATTTTACTTTTTTTAATGGAACCAAACTGAAATTGAAATAGATTTATGTGATGACCCAGGGTGGGATACAAAACAGACACAGTCACAAAAACCCAGTGAAGCCCCTTTTATTCCTTCACTTTGCTTCCAAGCTTTGAATATCTTTGATGAAAGACAAAAAAAACCTCCCACACAGTTACAAGAAGAAGGAAAAAAGCAACACAAACCAGGCAAGATAAGGGCTGGAGGACGCCCATAGATAACACACACTGGGAAGGATGCCAAACTCAGAGAGGAACCATAAACTAGAGATATTTCCATGCTTTGTTTCTAGCATTTGCCAGTACGCAGGTCCAAACTCTTATTCAGTTGTCACAGCTGCAGCCCATGGAGAGGATGAAGGCCCCCTCCTCCCAAGTAGACCACGTCTCTCCCTTATCCTCTCCTCCCTGCATGCCCTAGGATGGAGAGGGGGTGGGCCTGGGTCCTCCTCTGACTGCCCAGCCGGCCTCTGCCCTTCCCCAGCCTCCTCCACACCCTCCGGAGCCACATTTCCACTCCCTGTCGGCTGTTCCTCCTCTCCCTCGGAGTCAGCCTCCACCAGGGGCAGGACAATTTATAAGATCTGAAGAAAATCCAGAGAATGGGGGCTATTGAATTCACAGCCTGGACTCAGTTTTTAACACCTCACCTAATAAAATACCCTGAACTTTGTTATGTGCACCTATTGCTATCAGACCACTACAAAGTAACTTCTTTGAATGCAGCCTAATTTGGCTATGTTGTATGTCAAATTAGGCAAATGTTAACTACCCACAGATAATCCGCCACCAACCACAATAATTTATTCTGTCTGCTTTTTATTTTTTTACTGTTATTATTGTTTGTATTGCTTTGGTTTGTGGCACTGGTCCGTGACCATAATAAAGATTGCTGTGGTTGAAACAGATTTTTTTGGTTAAAAAAAAAAGTACAAAACCTTGGGTTTTTATGAAGGGCTCCAAATATGCTATCGACTCGAGTGATTTGGGCTTGTTGATAGTCAATGCAGAAGATCTTCTGTCAAAGGCTAACCGATTGGTGTCACCAATAAGCCAACTCAGAAAGATGGACGTTGTAGGACAATGGATGGAGGGAAGGGGAAAATCAAGATGGCGGTTAGGTCTGAAAAGTTGCAACCGCCATTTTGACTTTTTCAACAGATCTCTCTCCTCTGGAGGCCCCTGGGACATTAATGGGGACAGTGAAGAAGTTCTAGACAATGAACCTAAAAGGAGCAGCTATGGTGGAAAGGCAGCTTGAAGTCCATCAAAAGTTTTGAAATGATCTATCTAGCTAATTATGTCTATTTTCAAAGGGTGTGTCTAGCTTGATGAAAAGAAGGACTAGGGGTGACATGATGACAGTCTTCCAATATCTCAGGGGCTGCCCCAAAGAAGAGGGAGTCAAGCTATTCTCCAAAGCCCCCGAAGGCAGGACAAGAAAAGCAACGGATGGAAACTCATCAAGGAGAGAAGCAACTTAGAACTAAGGAGAAATTTCCTGACAGTGAAGACAATTAATCAGTGGAACAACTCGCCTCCAGAAGCTGTGAATGCTCCAACACTGGAAGTTTTAAAAAAGATGTTGGATAACCATTTGTCTGAAGTGGTGTAGGGTTTCCTGCCTAGGCAGGGGGTTGGACTAGAAGACCTCCAAGGTCCCGTCCAACTCTGTTATTCTATTATATTCTAATTAATTGACAAAACATTTGGACTTTTTATTATTAGATGAAAGCCCGATGGGTGATTATGGACTGGTCCCTCTCTCTCAGCCCAGCCTGCCTTACAGGGTTGTTGTTGTCGTGGGGAAAATAGGAGGAGGAAGGTGTGTGGGTCGGATATGTTTGCTGCCTTGAGTGATTTGTAAAAATGCTCAAGGCAGGATGCAAATAAATAAGTAAATTTATTAATAACCGTGCCATTCCTCTTCCTATCCCTGATGTTATACATGAATATTATCCCCTAACTGTCAACCTCTTGTGTTTCCTAGGTATCCCTGCTAATGGCCAATTGCACTTTTTTTTAAAAAAATGGACCCATTTGCATACTATTTTAAGACTTTCTAAGGACTTAACAGAGCTGTAATTAAGAATTGAACCGCCATCTTCTCTCACCAGATTTTTTTTCCGTGTGCTTTCCATTTTTGGAACGGGAAGAAGGAAATGCTCTCACACCCGTCTTGACTTTTGGCCAACGGCGTGCAGAAATCTAGTCCCACTGAAAACTCCCCGTCTCCAGCTTCAGTCCATTCAACCAGGACCTTCAGCCACTCTTCAGCCCACGTTGTTCCATCCACGGTCGCCTGTTGCTGGTTTCCGAATCGAATCTCAGTTTAGAAACAATATAAAAAAATAGTTTGCGGGCTGGCAAATTGCCACACGATGGCAGCAAATCTCCGAGTGTGGCCACATCCTAGGCTGAAGATCGCACCCTCAACCAGAACCTGGTGTGGAAAGATCCATGCTCAAGATGCTAAATGAGGGGCCTTCTGTAGAAGACCTACAATTCTGCCATTCGGAAGGTCAACTCAATGAGAAAGAGGCATCCTAAAGTCCGTAAGAGATTATGGCTTTCTTCATTGTTTTGGACACACACACACACACAGTTGTGTGGCTTCTGCTCTTGGCAACCAAAAGGCAAGGGGGTGTTACTCATAGCCAGAACCTCTCCCTCCCATCACAGGGTAGTTGCCGTTAGAGGAGGAAGTCTATGATGTGTTCCTTTGAGGCCAATCTTGTTTCTACTGGTCCACCATGGCTTCTCAAGAAAAAATTTCCCATGACTCATCAGGGAACCCTTCGGTGGTTGGGTGGTGCAAACCCAGCCTTACCTGGGATCGTTTCTCAGTCTGGAGTGTCGTGTGAATCTGCAGAATGGGTTATCAATTAAAGCTGATGCGTTTCCTGCTGAGCATTTATGTGGCTTTTCTTCAAAACACATGTGTGTGGGCAGGGGTGGGATTCAGAATTTTTAACAACCGGTTCTGTGGGCATGGCTTAGGTGGTGGGCGTGGCTTGGTGGTCATGTGACTGGGTGGACATGGCTTGGTGGTCATGCTATTGGCTGGGCGTGGCCAACTCAATATCACTCACATCGAGGCACGCATCTCCTCGCCTGGCCTCTCATGACTGTGGGAATGCTGCAACAGTCGTAAGTGTGAAATATGGTCATAAGTCACTTTTTTCAGTGCCATTGTAACTTTGAATGGTCATTCCACACAAGCAAAGTACCAGCAAAGGAGGGGAAAAAAACTCCAGAGACAGGAAGTCTAGTCCTGCCAAGAATGTAATAAGGGTTAACAGAGAGGCAGTTTCTGTAAGCAACCCCAGAATGTTTCCTTCCTGCCTTCCTTACAGGATTAGGCCAGTGATTCCTTCTAACAACCGGTTCTCCACACTGCTTAGAATGTTAACAACCGGTTCCAGTGAATAGGTGCGAACTGGTAGAATCCCACCCCTGTATGTGGGGGCAGGGGTGGGATTCCAAGATTTTTACCACCGATTCGGTGGGTGCAGCTTGGTGGGCGCTCTTTGCATGCGTGCACACACTTTATGCACATATGTGCGCCAAACACACACTTTGCGCAGGCACAGAGGCATTCCACCTCACCACCTGTAAGCCTGCCCTCTCCCTGTCAGTTCAGCAGCTGCCGTGCCACGCAAACCACCTGTGCTTCCAAAGCAGGACATAAAGGTGAGGATGGGAGCCGAGGCGGGCAGGTGGGCCCAACAGAACAGCGGCAGAGAGAACCGGTTGGGACTCCGCTGCTCATTGTTGCTACCGGCTCGTCCGAACCGGGATGAACCGACTGTGTGAGGGCCTTCTAAGCATGATGCCAAACCCCAGAGCAACTGGATAGGGGAGTCCACTTCTTAAGAAAAGCAGAGCTGCCTCCCCACTGCTGAGGCCACCCCCTTGATTTTTGGCCAGGCCCTGTGGATACCCTGCTGGTGGAAAGATCATTAAGTAGGTTAGCAAACACCAAGATCTCAACCCAGTGGAAGCTAATTGAGTTGTCCTGGTATCAGTAAGGGGCCTAAAATGAGAAGGCCCTACTTGAATTGAGTTCCATGAATTGAGAAAACATTGTGGGGGTTCTGGGTGCACTC